ATTTTGTCTACAAGGTACCTAGTTGACAAGTAACTTGCACCCCCCCCCCCGTAACATTTTAATTATTGCAAATATTTGAAATCGGTTTGCAGCATTAATTAAACTTATGTGGCATGTATTAAAAGTTTGTCAGACTTGGCACTTTGGAAATAAACATTTGGGTCAGAACACTTACGTAATTTGGAAAACAATTATTTCGGCAGATATACACACTCCTTGTTTAATTTTTATGTGCCACATGCCTATATTTCTATCAGGAAAAACGCCTTAAAATGATACAAATCGACTGTATCACTTTAGTAATATAATAGATTGGAGACAGCAGGGCTATTATATAAATGGGATGTCTACTTTATTATCCAATAATCAATGGTTGAACTAAAGAAACCAATTATATATTTTATTGGGGTTTTTTTTTAAATCAGTACTGTGGTGTTGTATATAAAGAATGCTGTCTAAACATCTGCCTATTATCATTAAACTTCATAGAAAATTTATATGTTGTCAGATTTTTGCTACTGCATATACAGATTAGTAATTGAATTAATTTTAAAAGGCGAAATTCCAGCTAAATCAGTACAGATGACCAGACTAATTCAAGAACGTCAAAACTTTCCCAATAATAATTTTGAATCAGTGAATCAGCTAAATAAATAGGGAAATAGATGACAAAAAGCTGTACGCCTAATGTTTGAATGCAGCTAGTAGTAAGATCACTAATTATGTATTAAGATTGGCAGGAGCCTTAGCGAAAATCTACAGGATATCTTTAAATAAGTAATCACATAGTCTCAGTTCATATTATTTTTTCACCCAAAGCTTTGATTGAAGCAGATTGATATTGATTTGTTTGTAGCTTTATACTAAAAGGAATAGGTCATTAGAAACATGCGGTAATTCTCTCATAAAATCGCATTTTTAAATTAATTGTTCCTAATGTACTCCTTATTATAATTAGTGCTATAATTGATTACCAGTTCAAAATGTGATTAAACTATTCAGAACACGAATCAGTGGCTTGAACCATATAAAGATTACCTTTACTTAAATAAATAATCCTAGTTTTTGATAAGCCTTAACTACTAAACGCCTTCATATTTTGTGCCGCAATGTAGATGCTGCATATATTTTGCCGACGTCGCCGTGTCTCGGATATCATTTTAGTAGGAATAAAAAAAAAAATCGACATAAATGGATATCATAATTAATCCCTTAATACGAATATCTGATATAACAATTACCCGTTATACTAAGAGTACTTTACATGTCTTTCAAAACACATTTGATGACATTTCAACACTAGACATAGGCTTGTTTGTTGCTACTTGTTTGTTAACAGAAACCACCACATTACTTTACGATTTTATCAGGTTATTTCAATGAGCTTATAGGAATTTTTTGAGCATAGTGGGAATATTTGTTCAGCCTTTTAAAATTCGTGTATTTAAATAAAGGTGAGGAATATTTCAGAGACAAAGTAACGCTTAAAGAAGTGTTCAAGCTGATCATTGAGAAATAACAATCAAAGGCTGCGTTCTGAAGCGAATATTGCCCTTTGATTAAAAATATCTCCTTTGTAGACTTCAGGTTATATTTATCTTTCAACTTAAAAACTGGTCGGAAATAAATGCTAATTATGTAATAGGTTCGTGTTTTAATCTACAAAAGAAACACAAGGAAGTTTATTTGTTTTTGTTTTATTGTCCCTATAGGTAAAAAACCACTCTTGGGAACAAACGCGTAAACCTACGTTAATTTGAGTTCGCCAACCAGCATGATCGGACGATACGACGTTTTATTAGGAGGTAAAATGGGAGTAAATTGGGGTTTCCTCATTTTGATACCCAAAATAAAATTCTTTGTTTGAAGTTCATTGTTGGTGATGGCTGAAGACGGGATCAGATTCCAGATCCCGAAACGTTGTGTATTGTTTTTTACATTCGTGATGGAAAATGTCCGCAATAAACCTTTGAACAACAAAATAAAATATTTTGCAATTTCTTTCCAAACTAATAAGTAGAGCTTAAAATAACTAATAATTTAGTATATTGAAGACTTGTTGCCTATGTCTAACGGTTTCAATGAAAATCCCAAAAAAGTGTACTGTATATTAAAAAATCCCTAAGTTAGTGTTATAAACAATAAATAAACTGTTGTAGTTCGCTTTTAATATAATTTGTCAAATTAGTTTACTTCATACTAAAATAACGACATTTGAATGAAAACACATCTTATTACCATCCCTGTTGCAGCAAACCTACATACTCATTAAAATAAATGTATTTTAAATAGGATATAAATCTGAAAATTTTTGGGAATATATTTGTGGAAATCTAGCAAGCTAAATTTGAATTCGCTTAGTCTGCAGATTTGCTGTGGAGGGGGTATTTAAGATCCTCCCGTTCATTTTCAAAACTTTTGAGTAAAAATACAAAATAAAATTTTGATGAAGGTTACAATTATTTAAAAGTTCAACGAAACTGTTTTTCTGTAAAAAACGTGATTATAACAATCGTTCCACTCCAGGAAACATATTATTTATTATGTAGACCTAATATTATTTAGTATTATTAATTACACGAGGATAAACTACGATGTTGTATTATGGTTTTATAAACTGAGTGGGAGTAAGGCTGTTGATTGTGTAAATGTTTTGACTCTTCCATGCTCGAGGGCAACACAGGCAGTTCCCTGGAAGTTCATGTTAGCCTTAACAGATTTAGGGTTTTACATTTATTTACCTACTAATTTCCTTTAGAAATTCATTAATATTTTAATGAAATTTTGTTTAAAATCTACAGTCAAAACATTACTATATATGTTACCTGGGTATATAGGAATGTTACCCGCCTATGCCCACCTTAAAACCCGTTCCAATGTTCCGATCATGCTGATACACGATCTCTTTCGAATAAATGTTGGTTTACACGTTTATACCAAATTTCATCAAAATTAGGCTATTTATACAAAAACTACCTGAGAATAATAGATAGCCTCTTCAGCTATGATAAGAATAATAAATCATTCTTCAATATAATAAATAAATAAAAATAAAACCTCCTAATTTAAAAGCAAAAGTAAAATTAATGGAAACTAAATCGAGCTACATCAATTTTGATTTGTTTATGAATTTACAATACCCCGCCACACCAAACCTGCAGACTAAGCAAATTTCCATTTATCTGGTTGAATTTTCACTAATATTTGCGGTAAACATTGATTTTTCCATGTTTGCCCGTAAAACATAACATTTTGCAATTTCTTCATTTTATAACTTATGAAAATGATATTTGCAAAAAACGTAAATTAAAAAAAAATCTGTTCTAACTTTTTTTGGAGAATAGATAATCTGTTATAGTGTACTTGTTTATGGGATACTTTTATAACAAACCTAGTAACATTTAAGTAAAATATACATTTCAATTCTGTAGCAGGACAGTAAGGATTCATTAACCTTAATGTCATTTAAATACAGAAAGAGACAATTTCAAGGAACTGTTTTGTGTGAAATTAGTGAAACTTCAACCAGATAAATGGAAATTTGTTTAGTCTGCAGGTTTGGTGGGGCGGGGTATTGTAAACTCATAAACAAATCCAAATTGATGTAGCTTAATTTAGTTTGAATGAATGAATGAAAATACTTATTTATTGAGGAGAACAATTAGGACATGGTCCTTTCTTACTGTTAACCTAGTTTCAGGGAATTAATTCTGCTTTTGACTTGAGTTTTCCTGAAAACCAATTTGCAATTGAGGATCAAATTAAATAAGGTCGTCAGATGAAATGAGGATGTTTTCATTTTTATTTATTTGTTCTCAGCATTAATTTGTCAGCTTCCACTTACGTAACATAATTTCCAAAAGTAATCAATTAATAATCCTAATCTTACGACTAAAATAGCTACTTTTAAAATGTACTATTAGCACTGGCAAACTGTTATATTGCTAATCCACAACAAAACTGAAATGCAAGTTTTGCTTACTAGATATGTTATTATTAGCTGAAGGAGTTTCACTGTCTGTAGAGCTCTACAAACATTCACCGTGACGTCATACGGTTCGTCCCCATTGTTTGTGAAGTGGTGTAGAATGTATACATCTAACCTGGTTATAGAAAATTGTGACTATGTTGTTTTTCTCTTTTCTGGCAAATAACAAAATCATTATACTCACTAAGCAATTTTAAAGGGCTAATCAATTTGAATATTTATTTAATTTAGATTTTATTAGCATTCTTTTTATTTTGATTGTAAAGTTGTTGTATCCTTATGACGTTACAGTTTCAAAATTCTCAAAAACTTTAGTTTATTTTTGTAATTATTAAAAATATTGAATTTTAAAACTTGAGTTGACAAAAAATTTACGAAAACGTCCAAAGCGAAATTTGTGGTTTAAACATCAACGGTTAAATAATTAAACATAAAATATCTCCGAATTGTTTTCCAAGGAAATCGACAAGTCATTAGCAACAGTTTTGCTTTTCTTTGGAGCTTTACAAACAGCCCAAGTATGACGTCAGAGATGTGGCGCGTTATGTTTAGAGCAATGGGTTACGATTTGTCCAATTAATGCTTAGTTTCTGGCTCCAGGTGGTGTTATGGGGTAGTGTTTTTGTCGTTAATTTTATGTAGAAATTTTATAGATTATATTGTTTTATAATTTTTTACAAAAAAAATTATTCAAGGTGTACATTTTGGAAAATATAAAAATTTGTTTTTGATTAAATTTTTTTTTCTAGGTTCAGTCACGACTCGACGCAACACGTGATGACCAAAAACAGGAACCAAAAGTAATAATTACACTAGATTATTAGTGTTTATGGATATTTTTGAGGGGGGTGGGTCCGGGCTGTCGATCAATAGAGCGGTAGGGCTGCGCAGTTTGCCGACAGCCGCTGCCGCCCAGTCGACTGCCGCCTCGGACCACCGTTGGATATGGAGGATCTCCCTTGTTGACGGCTTCATAATGGGCAGCGAGACATGCACCTGGGCCCTAGCCTGGCTGGCGGTCACCTCTTCGCTGCTCCACACCAACCACCACGCCAACGCCGCGTAAGTAGAACCCTGTGCGATAGTGCTACTAGGTCACCAATCCTGCTCGGCGACCCACCATCGGACGTCGGACGTGCTGCAGACGGCAATGTTCGTAGTGATAGAATACAGTGATAAATGATCTACCGAGTCTTCGTAGTTTAAAGTTTACCGTAGCTAACAACCCACCCGAAAAGTTGTCTCAGTGTATGTTATTTTCTAAGATATAGTTTTACACATACATAAACCAACGTCAAAACAACACCCTACTGATTTAAGTACACACCACAAAATAAATGCAACAACAAATCGAGGTTTGTCTGCAAAACAAATAAATAGGTCAACCCTCCGCGGGGAAGTGTCAAAGGTCAAACCGCTCCTGGTGACCTCACTCCCGGACGACCTCACCTGGGACCTCGGTTCCTCAGGTGACTCGGCCTCGGTTCGTGAGGTGTGGTGGAGTACAGGCAGAGGTGTGGTGGGTGGGCACACCCAGTACCGCAGTATCAAGCCTGACAACGCGCTCAACATTACAGATACATCGGGATGTTTTGTCTGAAATACAGGATAAATTGTGTTTTCGAATATTTTACTAGATGACCCGATCACTTAGAACAAAATACAAATCCGAGGCGCATGCGCGACCGCCCTATAACTCAATATGTGTTACGGGTTTATTGTATTTTTGGAAAGCTATATCGAAACGGGGTGGTTAATTATTTGGTGAAATTGAAAATGCTATTTTGATACTTTATCCTCGGACTGTACGGTGTTTGGGCTGCAGTTCTGTCTTGGTTCTACTGGGTTCAGCTGACGAGCCATCGCCCAGTTTGTCGATAGTATATTTCACGGTAGACCCAGAAAACGGAATACCTTGTTTTCGTCATATCGCATTACTTTTCTTTTTTTGAAAGCCGTGATATAAACGTAACGTTTTTAGGCACTTAATAAATAAACGCTGTTTTACAATATATCTTGTGCAAAATGAATTGTGCTGTTTTTGATTAAAAAATGCGCAAGTTATCGAGAGTTGTACATACTCTAATACTCTTTTTCATAGATATTTTCCAACTAAAACACTGTCATGAACAACTTATTGGTATTGACAACAATTTCCAAATAATGAATGTTTTCCAAAACACTCAAAAAGCATAGAAAAATTGTTATAAAATCTGCAAATTTGAACAAATTGAGGATTTTAAAAAGTTTATTATTTGTTGGTAAACACGTGATAAATTCCTATTTTAAATCAATTTTTTTTAGTATGACTCTCTCTTATACGTTGTTGTATTAATAGTCAAAGCTTATACGCAACATACATGACAAGATAAAATTAAATCTGATCAATGTCGATTAAATTAAACATTGAATTTTTGGGAGAAGGGTTAAAAACAACAATCTATATGTATATATATATATATATATATATATATATATATATATATATATATTTATAGGCAAGCATGTCTATTTAAAACCTTTTTTCTCGGCTCGTGTGCATCGCAGGAAAAATCTACGGATATTGAAAGATATTTCCTGTAGATGGGCAGAATCCCTTTACAAATTAAAATAGGCTCAAAAATAAGCCAAAAAATATTTAAAATAAAAAATAAATAACATGGGTCTTATGCGTTGCCATACTGGTCACGAAATAACAATAAAATATAAATAGAAAATCAAAACAAATGGAAGAAGTTACAATCACATGTTTTATTTACAGCGTGGAGTGAAAAGGGAAGCCTGTACATTAAATATTTTGGTCAAGTTCTTGACCACTAGTTGTTAATTTACAAAAACTAAACATTTTCACCAAAACTATGCAGTAAAGTACTAAACCAACTCTTTCACTGTTTCCCCTAACATAGCAGAAACATTAAATTACCAAGCAACAGACCAAAAGGCAATCCTCTCCCCCCCCCCTTTCTAAACAAATACACTTGTAATATTATTTATTTTCATACCTGATTACTTATTCTTCTAAAGTGTAACTACGTTTCAAATACGATATTTACCCTCACATAACAAATTATGTACACATATACATTGCTGTCTTTATTGGAATTTGTTTTCAGCTATTGTAACTAACATTGCAAAAACATTATTGCGTTTGGGATAAACTATCCACTAAGACATTTCCCCAACACTTTTCTTACGTTGTTAATAATACTGAATAATGAAGGGATATTTTCACAAATTTATTTTAATAGTTTTTGTAAACGTGTTATTAGATTAAATTATACTAGAGGTCGTCCGTTGTTCGAACACTCGACCAAAAATTTTGCAATGTACAGACTTCTCAATGTTCACCACCACGCTCTAAATAAAACATGTGATTGGAATTTCTTTAACTTGTTTTGATTTTCTGTTTATACTTCTTTGTTATTTCGTCACGATGGCAACCCATAAGGTCCATGTTAATTTTTTTTAATTTAAAACTATTTTTTTGTACTTTTTTGAGTTTATTTTAATTTATGAAGGGATTCTGCACATATACAGGAAAATATCTTTCCAACAGTATGCGTCGATTTTCCTGCGATGAACACGAAATGAGGAAAAAGGTTTTAAAGAAACATGCTTGCCTATTATATAGATTGGCAAATCCATGAGTATTCGAAATAACATGTTGATAAAACTGTTACTAGATTAACTCGTTCGAAGAGTTGACATCGTGTGAAGCGTTAATTATATATCTCGATGTGTTATTTCGGTACCTTCCTCCTCTAATATTGAACAAAACATCCAGCAATAGCTTCTCTAGGTTGTGTTCGAAAATAAATACTAAAATTATAGCCTTATTGCTTTAATTAATTCGACGTATTCGACTGCTTTTTGTCTTCAAGCAATATTTTGAAATAATTATAATAACTCGGGTATCTTAGTCTTATATCGCACATTCAATCTTTTAAATTATCAAACAAAATTTATTTTTTTCAATGGGTTCTTTACTCTTACCATAAAAAAAACACACACACTTACCTACCCTCCCTACACTTACAGAATTACATAGAAAACCTAATACTTCTTAAACCTAATGTTATTTAAATAGGGAATAAATATGATATGTTTAAGAAAAAATCAAAATAAAATTGAATCAGGCGAATGGAATTTCAATTAGTCTGCAGGTTTGCTGCACTATCTTTTTTTATTTTTTATTTTAGTACATAATGCTTTTGTGACTGTGTAAATCGGTCAGAAGTTTTGACAGAGGTTGTTAAAATGCGTGGAACGAACAATATTTAGTTGTGTGTGTTTGATTTGGGAGGGGGGGGGGGGGGTAGTAAGACTTCACATTTTAATTCTCTCAATAATAATGTTGTCATTCGTGGTTTTAAACATCGACAACAAAATATTAAAATCCTACATTTTGATTGAATAATATTTTACTGAAAACATAGATCCACAACTACTGTTAACACATAATACAAAACACAAAGGCTGTTAGGCGAGCTAAAACCGCTATTACGCTGCACTTGTAAGAAGACCAAGTAGTAAAAGATGGAGCAAGAAATTCCTTGAAAATAAACAGGAGATAAGAAACTTGATAAGAAGGAAGCTGAGGCGAGGGGTTGTTCAGTGACAGCTATTATCAAAGTCCTGAGAACAAAGAGACTTTGCCGTCGCGATTGTCTCAAAGCTAACCTCCTTTCCTTCATCCGGAGTGTTAAACATTCACTGTATGGGCTTCCTATTGTTGAGGTTATTTATAGATTGTATTGATTACATTGTTTTATTTGTAAATGTTTATATTAATACAAATGTATTCGTCAGTTCATTCGATTACAACGTGTAAGATATGTTTTAGTGCTGCAGGTAAAGAGTATGTTGTGAAAAGTTACTACGTATTGAATTAATTGACTATCATGCTATCACACAGAAAGAAAATCTTAAATTTTTCTGTTTTGATCCAGAACATACCTATAGTAAAATTAGTTTTGCGTTGTAAAATATTTCTAAAGTTCTGTATGCAATTCACGTTTGTAAATATTTTCAGAGGCTCGTTAAAAAGCAATGTAAATGTAAAAAACCTTGATTTACAGAAAATAGTAGGCTTATTCGAGCCTTGATTCCTACCCAGAAACCATTCTTTGTGCGATTGTTTCTATTTCATAAAAAAGTGTGCAAGGTTCAAAAATATGACCAGGACTTGAACATCATAATGTTATATATACATTCCTTATTTATCTTGCTTTCGTTTTCACGTAGTATGGGGTTTAACGCCTTGGGTAGATCAGCTGTGCTACTGGCTAAGATTAACTGTTTGCTTTTCCATTAACCCCCATGATCAAGGACAACTGGGTCCAGTTTCGATACATTAAAAATCTACCAGGATCGAACCAGAATTTGTTTAATTATCAGGGAAACATCATAACCACTATCACCCCCTAAGCTATTTAGCTATGATGACTTGGCCTTGAAGAACTACTCCCGAAGTTCATATGCAGCCCACTATCTCCTTATCATCTTTTTGTGTTCCTCTAAGTAGTTTACACTTACGAGATCAAAACCCATACACAGCGTAAAAAAACATGCGTCATTTTTTAAACGTCTGTTCCTTATGATATGCAGCCTTCCAATTCTTAATACTTATATTCTAGCTCCTGAAAAAGTTCCACAAGGTCATATTTCATCCATCATCTTTTCAAAAACACACCCTGAATCTAAAAAAAACTATAATTCAACATGATAATCAACATAACTTTGAGTTAAAGACCACCAGATCAAAACTAATCCACAAAAAAGCCACACATGCGGGAAGCCAGGTATGCGGATATTCAAGACATAACAGTTTGTCTCGGTGGATTTACTACAGGAAACGAGCGTCGTAGAGCATCCATTACATTACGTTCGCTGCGAGGTAGCGAGAACACACGAACGTGTTGGGACATAAATCTAATCGGTAGTGAGCTGAGACGGAGCAAAACCTTCCCTCCTCAACCCTTAGACAATACATTGTATCTCCCTCTGATACATGGGCAAATAGGTCAATACAGCTAGGTTATAAACATAACGAATGATACAGG